TGTGTGTGTGTGTGTGTGTGTGTGTGTGTGTGTGTGTGTGTGTGTGTAACCAAAAACTAGCATTACTTGCAAAGGATGATAAATCCCGAAAAAGAAGGATGCCTCCCTCCCAACACAAGGGATAGAGGTGACTAAATGGAGAAATAGACAATTTAAATTACAAACTTCTGTATGAGCAAAATCAATGCAGTAGGATTAATAAAGGAAACTATCAATTGGGAAAAATATGTTCATAAAACATCTCAAGAAAAGGTCTGATATCCAAGATATAGAGGGAATTAATTCAAGTGTATTAAGACCAATAGCCATTCCCCAGTAGGTACAAATGGTCAATTAATTTAAACAAGAAGTTCTCCAAAAAATTTGCAAACTCTTAACCTCATGAAAGATTACTTTATACAAAAAAAAAAAATCACACCTAACAAATTGGCAAGAGACAGGAAGAGTCAATGTTGGAGAGGCTACAGGAAGGCAGGCATTTCAATACACTTTTGGCGGAATTGAAAATTGGTCCAACCCCTTAGAAACAAATGTTCAGAATTATATGAAGTGATTAAGCTGTTGATTCCTGCCGACCCTTAGATCCCACTAGTGGCATGTATTCCAAAGAGGTCAGCAGCCAAAGGAAAGGTCCCATGTGCTCATAACAACACTCTTTGTGGAAACTGGTAGGAAAGTGGGTGTGTCTTGATTGAGAACTGGCTAAACAAATTGTGGTACATGAATGTAGTGGGATATTACTATACCATAAGAAATAATGAATATGAAGAATTCAAGAAGCTTGGAAAGTCTTACAGAAACTGATGTGTAGACTAAAGTAAAGAGAACTAGGAAATTAGCACACACAATAACTCCAATAGTGTAAAATGACAAGGATAATAAAACAATGCTGAATGCTGTTATCATTATGATGACCAATTTTGTCTCTAGAGGAGAAAAGAAATGTATATACCTCTCCTTTTATTGGAGAGGCAGAGGACTAGGGGTGTGGAGTACATGTGGTGTCAGATGAAGTCTCATTGTTATTTGGTTCTGTTAATGGTTTTTCTTTCCCTTTGTTAAAAAGACTGTCTTTGGTGTATATCTAGAAATTACTGATGTCAGAGTTAAAAACCTTCAATAAAACTTTAAAAAAAAATAAAAATAAAGTGTTGGTCTGAAGAATAGGGGCTGTGTAGGGCATAGTTGCGCCCAAAAGCTTGTAAATTCTTTCCCTGAGGGGGAAAAGTCTTTTCTTACAAGAGTTACTCTCAAACTTCCAGGACCAACCCCATTGGAATGAAGGGTCACATGGCCAAATGTTATGGGGACTTAGTACAGGAACTGTGGAGTGGAACACAAAAGAATGTTGCCCCCCTGAAGCTTCGGGTAAGTAGATTGTGCTCTTAAAGGCATAGCATTCCTGTCCTCCTTATAAGGTCTCTGTTCACAATAGCTTTTCTATATATAGCTTTCTTTTCAACATGTCAGCTTCCCAGTTCCTATGTTTTTTTCTTTTAAATGAACGTAATGGCTTCTGATGTTTTATATATATTGAAGATACTGAACGTTTATTGGCCTTGGGCAAGTGCCTTAGCTTCTGATACTTATTGTCCTCATTTGTAAAATGAAGAAATTGGACTCAGTGATCTCCAAGGTCCCTTCCAGGTTTAGATTCCAATTGTAAATAAATCACTGTGTTAGGCTACACAGTTGTTTAATTCAGAATATAGTTCATCACAAGCCTATTAAGTATCTTATTTAAATATGTTTAGTAACTTTTTGACAAAATATGAAACTAAAATCCTTACACAAATAGGTATAGAAGAACCTTTTTATTAATATGATAGAAACTATGCGTATAAAAGCAAAAGCTAGCGTTATTTGCAATGGGGAAAATACAAACCTTTTCAATAAATACTGGGTTAAAGAAAGATATCCCTTTTTCCTTTTATTTTAGTCCTAGAAATGCTAGCAGTAACAAGACAAGAGAAGGAAATTAATAGCATAAATACAGGAAGAGAGGAGACAAAACTATCCCTATCTGCTGATGACCTGGTTTATTTTAGAAAATTCTAGGGAAACAGCAAAGATACTAATTGGTGTCCAGTAAATCTTTTCATGTGGGTTTCTTTCATTATTAGCAGTATGGCAGCTCTAAAATAGGTTATATGTGCTTCCCAAGTTGTGAATGTAAAGTAATAATTTTTTTCTTTTTTGGGGGGAATTGGGGTTAAGTGACTTGCCCAGGGTCACACAGCTAGTGTCAAGTGTTTGGTCTGAGGCCAGATTTGAACTCAGGTCCTCCTGACTTCAGGGCCAGTGCTCTATCCATTGCGCCACCTAGCTGCTCCAAAATAGTCTTTCTTTATAAACAAGATTCATGGTATTTGGAATAGGATTAGATAAACATAATATTAATTATTCCTATGGATTACTGTCAACCAAGAAGTGTTAGAGGATTTTTTAATGTATTTCAGGTAATTATAATCTTCAAGAAACCAGCAGCTTTTAAAAATGAAATTAAAAGTTAGGATGTTATGTTAGAAATGTCAAACATGAAAAAATATCCTGGTTGTCCTTGGTGAATGAAGGAGAAAGCACATCAGACCTGTGTGCCTGAGCACTGGACAGGCTATGCTGGAGTTATTTTTTTATCAGCCAGAATACCTGATGCTTTGTCTAGGGTCATTTGTGGTCTAGGACAATTTAGTAATTAGCATAAATATAGACAAACTATACAGTGTCTTCCTCACTTGCATGCAACATGGTCTGTTTCATTTGTGAAATGTTTTCTGGTGGACAGGTCAAAACAGTGAATGACTTTAGTTTTTACTAATTTTATAGTGGACAATAGCAAAATATGCTCCCAGGTTTAATGGTTTCCAGCAGCAAGACTCCCAGGAACTTCTGGCTTTTCTCCTGGATGGTCTTCATGAAGATCTCAACCGAGTTCATGAGAAACCATATGTAGAACTGAAAGACAGTGATGGTCGTCCAGACTGGGAAGTGGCTGCAGAGGTTTGTCAGTAATCATTGCTATTTAATGCAGGCAGCCACTTAAATCATTTTGCTTTCTGATTAAAAACCAGCCAACATGTTAAAAAAATTTTATTACATGATTTTAAAAAACGTTTATTCCTTATATATGATAAAACATCACCCGTCCTTCTAAAAGAATAGCAAATTCCCTCAGTCCAGTGGCCGTGTTGTCTTTTTTCCTAGCCAGACTTCAAGTAGGATTGCAGGAAAAAACAAAAAAATAAAAAAAGACCAGATATTTACTGAGATATTGTACCTTATGACTGAAGGGCATTTTTTTTACATCTTCATTGGCAGTTAAAGATATAGCCCAACAGCATTTTAGTGACCTCTGTGTATTTATAAAGGCCAAGCTTGTGTCCAAAGAAGAGACGAAAAAATATATTTTCTTCCTTACTTTGCAGAAGTGAGAGACTGTGGATATCAGATATTGCATATATTGTCAGACTTGGTTAATGTGTTGGCTAGTTTTACTGAACTTTTTCTCTTTTTTAGTTTTTCATGCAGGGGATGGTTTCCTGCTTCGGGGAAAGGGGAGGTGTAAGTTGGAAACTAAGGTGATACTAAAAGTATATATCAATAAAAACTTTAAATTTAGAATATAAAATTATATAGCCACTTAACCTTGGTTATTACCATTTTTCTTTGCTTTTGTCAGACTTGCTAAATTTTTTATTTCCCACCCATATTTTAAATTATTAGCATTTTAAAGTAATACATGGAAAGATTGTTACATGCTAAATGAAGATCCAAAATCATATTTCAGTTTCCTTGATATTGTCTGCCAGATACTCAGTCTGAGTGAGGCATTCTTCCCTTTTCATGGTCATTAAGCTTCCTCATCTCTGTTTCCCCACAGGCTTGGGATAATCACCTGAGAAGGAATCGATCGATTGTTGTGGATTTATTCCACGGACAGCTAAGATCCCAAGTCAGATGCAAAACATGTGGGCACATAAGTGTTCGATTTGACCCTTTCAATTTTTTGTCTTTACCACTACCTATGGATAGTTACATGCACTTAGAAATAACAGGTGAGTCACACAGTTCTGAAGAATCAGTTAGTTCCGAAGAGTCATGTTAACGTATTTAAGCTTGATTGATGAGAAAAAGTAATGGTATGCTACATTCTAACAAATATAAATATTTTACATACTTAATTTAGCTATCTAATTCCATGCTGGGGGGTTGGAGGGTGGGGCTGAATATTACAACATTCAAGCCTCCATCTAATGAAAAGGTTTGTCAAGGCTCTTCAAAAAAGTGGTGCCATATTTTCAATATGAAGGTAGCCTCTCTCCCCTATAATACTGAAAATATTAGTGGAAACCATCAGGGAGGCGTGAATAGTAAGAAGGCATTTGTACTGATTGCACATATGGTGTGCTTTAGTGTGCACCTACAAGTTTAGGATATTGGTTCATTTGTAGTTCTGACTGTTGCATCTCTTTAGTTTCATAAGGTTAGAAATTGCGTTGTAAGTCTTGCAGAAATTCTCAATCTGAGCTTATTTTCGGTGAATGGAAAAAAAATATTTTTTTTACTTTATTATTTTGACCCCTAAATAGTGGAATACATGCTTAGGGCTAGGACAAGATAGATTCTAGGCCTGTAAATGTGCTATACTTACTTGCATAAGAGGTAAGTCTAGAAACATTGTTGGATTTGTAAGAAAACCCAAATTTTGCTTATGATACCTCCTCTCCTAGTTATCAAGTTAGATGGTACTACTCCTGTGCGATATGGGCTAAGGCTGAACATGGATGAAAAGTACACAGGTCTGAAAAAGCAACTGAGTGACCTCTGTGGACTTAAACCAGAACAGATTCTTCTTGCAGAAGTACATGGTTCCAACATAAAGGTAACAATCTTAGAATAATTTCCAGATTGTCATGCTTTGAAAGTCACATTTTTCTTGACATTCTCAAGGTTAAACACCAGTAGAATTCTTCATTTTATTAAATGACCCAAAGAGGTAATGTGGATAAGATTTTTAATTTCTATATTTTAAGTTATTTAAGCTAGCAACTTGAAGGTATTGCCTAACATGTAATTTCATTGGTGGTGCTATTCTTAAGAGAAAACAAACCTCTAAGGCATATTCTGCTGCAAACTGTTTAAAATAACCCCTAGCTATGAGGCTAATGTTATAGTGATGGGAGAATCTTTTCAGACACTTCTCAGTATATTTGAAAATTTCCCCCCCACACTGTTTTCACTAGTATTCTTCCAAAGTTAGGATACTTTAAAGAATGTTTACAGTGCCTGCCTACCTTTTGAATACACTTAAATTCCCCCCTTCTCAGTTAGACTGGATTAAGGGAAATTGACATCATTAATCATTTCCTACAAAGAGGAGGAGTATAATCCAAATATATATTGCTTGCCATACATTGGTTTTCTTCCATTAGCATTGTTAGCTTGGTCTAGGAATCAGAACAAATCCTCACCTTTCTTGATTTCTTCTCAACAGAAAAACAAAGCACATATCTGTCTGAAGTTTTAGGGTTTAAATATTTGAGAACTCATATGATGATAGGGAACCAAACCCCATTGTGAATTACATTTTCCCTTCTATAGCTAATTGAGGGTATTAATTTTCTGCTAAGTTGTATTTCACTCACTTTATTAGATGTTAAAACAGCTAGCTTTTTTTTATACTGGTGAGAACAAATATAGAACTCATATGAATAGTATCATAGAAATGCTTTTTCAGTTTGTCTGAAATATCTTGTCATCTTCCCTAACTTATTTTTCCACAGAACTTTCCTCAGGACAACCAAAAGGTACGGCTCTCAGTGACTGGATTTTTATGTGCATTTGAGATTCCTATCCCTGGATCCCCCACCTCAGCTTCAAGTCCAGTACAGACAGGTAAAGTAAAATTAGAGTGCTCCGTCATTTTACAAATGAGGAAGCTGAGCTGAATGACCTGTTTGATGTCACATTGTGGCTAAAGTAGGGTTAGAAGAGAGGTCTCTTCACTAATGCAATGTTGGTGGAGTTGTGTACTGATCCAGCCATCCTGGAGAGTAATTTGGAATTATGTCCAAAGGGCTATAAAACTGTGCATACCCTGTTATCCAGCAATACTACTGCTAGGTCTGTATCCCAAAGACATCCAAAAAAAGGGGAAAGGACTTATTTGTATAAAAATATTTATAGCAGCTCTTTTTGTGGTGGCTAAGAATTGGAGATCCAAGGGATGCCCGTCAATTGGGAATGACTAAACAAGCCATGGTATGTGATTGTAATAGAATATTATCATGGTATAAGAAATGGCAAGCAGGATGACTTCAGTAAAACCTACTTGAACTGATGCATAGTGAAGTGAACAGAACCCGGAGAGCATTATACATGTTAACAGCAGTGTTGTTCATTGAAGAACTGTGAATGACTTTGCTATTCTCAGCAATACAATGTGATCCAAGACAGTCCCTAATGATGAAGCATACTATCTGCCTCCAGAGAAAGAACTGATTGTTTCAATACAGACTGAAGCATGCTATTTTTCGCTTTCTTTCTTTGATTTTTTTCTTTTATTTGAGTCTTCTTGTACAGAATGACTAGTATGGAAATGTTTTACATAATTGCAGATGCATAACCAATATCTAAATGCTTACTGTCTCAGGGAGGGGGATGGGAAGGGAGGGAGGGAGGGGTAGAACTTGGAACTCAAAACTAAATAATGTTCATCTTTTTTTTTTTTTTTGAAAAGGAGAGGTCTCTTGACTCCCAGGGTCACACAGCTAGGAAGTGTCAAGTGTCTGAGGCCGGATTTTGACTCAGGTCCTCCTGACTCCAGGGGTGGTGCTCTGTCCACTGGGCCACTTAGCTGCCCCTGTTTTTTTCTATTCTTTAGACTCTTGCTAACATAGTTGCCTCTCACAGTAAGCTACTTGAAGGCCAGGAAAAAGGTGTCTTATCTAAGCTTTGTCTATCACTTGATACAGTGCTTTGCATACCACTAGCTTTCAATAAATAGAATTTCAGAAATTAGAAAATAGAATTTCAGAAAGTAAAATCTTAAGTGTTATAGAGACACTATCTTCACTGGAACTTAATAAGAAGGATATATGTAGATTGGAGAATGATTTAATATTGTATTTGACTTGGAAGAATAGAGAAACTCTGTTAAGTAAAAAGCATCCTGGAAATGATTATGTTTGAAAGCTATAGCATGATGATGATGTAGGTTTTTGCATGGATCTTTATTTATGATATTCATTGTTATTTAATCAATTGTGTTATGGAAATAAGCTTGAACTAAGGATCTGTGGGTTGCTTTAGCAGTTTTTGCTTTCTGTCCGGTCATATCCATATAAAAGAGAACCACTTTGGGCAAGGAAAGCAAAGAAAAGGCAAAGTATATGGGTACAATGTATATATAATACTTTGCTTATTTCTAAATTTATAGATTTCTCTGGCCCGTCTACAAATGGAATGCTGAATATATCCACCAATGGGGATGTGCTTCGACCAACTCTCATTCCCAATGGAATGCCAAACACTGTTGTGCCATGTGGAATTGAGAAGAACTTTGCAAATGGAATATTGAATGGCCACGTGACATCATTTCCTGACAGCCCTTTCATAGGTTACATCATTGCAATCCACAGAAAAATGGTTAGTTAAACGTTAAGGAGTATGGATTTGTTGGCATAATGGGGCTGGGAAGTTGCCTTTGTCTGAAAATGCTCTATTAAACTTATGTTCTTAAAATTGTGCTGGATGCTTAGTTAAAGATTTAGGATATGTAATGCCTGCACTGGAAATGATTCTCCTTTGCTTAGGAATCAAAAGGCAATTACAAGGCAAGCATTTTACAAGGTAGCATCCATCAGGTTTCACTAAACTGGGAGAGTTTAGGCTCATATCACATAGTCTTGCCCAAAATCACTACCTCCTAGCCCTTGCCAAGGAATTATTGTGACTATTCAGCAAACATTTTGTAAAGCACCTCCTATATTTTAGGCACTGGGACTGTAAAGAAAAAAAAAATTTAAATCTCTGTCCTCAGTTTACATTCCTTTAGGAGTAATAGAACATGTAACCAGATAAATAAATACAAAATATTTATGAAGCAGTTTCGAAAGGAGGAACTCATTAGCAGCTTGAAAGGCCTCGTGTAAGAGGTAGCATCTGGGTTGTTCTCTGAAGGAAGATAAGTGTTCTAAGAGGAGGAGATGGGGATAAAGAATATTTCAAAGATGTGGGAACACTTGTACAAAATATGGAGGTGGGAGCTGGAATGTCATGTGCAGGAATATCTAGTAGGCATATTTGAATGGGGCAGAGAGTATGAAGGAAAATGATCTAAAATAAGACTAGAAAATTATGCAGGAACCATACTGTGGAGAACTTTAAACATCAAACAAAACAGTTTATTATATTTGATCCTAGAATCACATAGATTGGAGGAAGATGAAAGAGAATGGCATGGTTGGATCTGCATTTTAGAAATATCAGTTCGCACCTGTATGCAGGTTGAACCATAGCCAGAAGAATTTGGGAATAGAGAGACACCAGTTAAGAAACTATTGTAGTAATCCAAGCAAGCAGTAATGAGCAGACTGAACTGGGATAGAAGCTGTGTGAGTAGAGGGGACAGATAGAAAAGTTATTGTGAAAGTGAAATGATCAGGATTTGGCAGTTGATTGGATGTAGGATAATTAGATTACCTATGGGGGAGAGGAAAGAGAGAAGAGTCTAGAGTGATTTCAAGGTTGTAAAACTGGATGACTGGAAGGAAAGTGGTGCCCTCAAAGGAAATATGGAAGGTTGGAATGGGGATAAGTTTGGAAAGAAATATAATACTTATGAAGGGAAAATTGAAAAAAGGCCATTAGATTTGATAATTAAGAAGTCATTGGTAACTTTGAAGAGGGCAGTTTCAGTTTAATGATGAGGTCAGAAATCAGATTACAGAGGGCTTAGAAAAAAGGGAGAGGAGAAGAAGTGAAGAATCTAGTGTAGAGTATCGCCAAAAAGAAGAGGTGAAATATAGGGTGATAGCTAGCAAGAATGGATGGATCAAGGGGAAAAAAGACATGGGTCTGTTTGTAGGCAACAAAGAAGGAGCAAGTGGATAATGAAAGATTGGATATTAAAAAGAGAATGGAAAAGAAAGTGGGGACTTTCTCCTGAAAAAGAGAGGAGATGATGGGATCACGGATACATTTAGAGGGTTTGGCCATGGTAAGGAGAAGGGCCATCTCTTCATCCAAGACTAGAGTGAAGGAGGAGATAATGTAGGCTAAGATATCTGTGTGTTGTGAGATGAGGAAGAAGAGAGAAGAGGTGGTTCTTAGCAAATGGCCTCAATCTTTTTGGTAAACTGAGGCAAAGTATTAAACAGAGATGGGGTAAGAGGTCTAAAGGAGGCTTGAGGAGAGAAAGAGAAGGTTTAGAACTGCCACTGTGAAGAAGGGAATCAGGGAGCAGTAGAATGACTGCTTTGCTCCATTGAAGGCCCAATTGATACTAAATAACATAAATCTGTAGTGGATCCAGTCAACACAGTTTTGTGATTTCCTCTAGCTCCATTCAGCAGGGCATAGAAAGGAATAAAGGAGGCACTTGGTAGAAGTAAACTAGGGTTGGGGTTTGGCAAGGCATCAACAACCAAAGGACAAATGAATAAGGCATTTGAGAAGAGAGGATGGTATAGAGTTGAATTGTTTCACCAAAAGATTGAGATAGGGAAAGGAGGAGATTGTAGGCAGTGCAGGTGTGATTGCCTGGGAAAGAACTGAGGAATGGGGGAGTGGAGGTCACAGTGAGGATTAAGAATAAGGGTAGGATGATAAAGGTGTAGGAAAAGATGGAATGATAGAAGATTATGATCAGATAGTAGAATTTTGGAGTTTGTGAAAATGAAAGTAGAAACAATTGTGGTTGATGGCATGATTAAAGGGTATGACCATGTGTGTGGCTGAGATGGATTGGAGAAACATGTTATGTGAACTGAAAAGATTGAGAAACTGAGGGAACTGGGAAGGATTTGAGGGAATATTGAAGTCCTCTAATAGAGCAGGAAAGAGATACTGTGAAGTAGGCACTGAACTCAAAGAGGAATGGAGAATGTCTTGGGGGTTGATAGACAACAGCCACCAGGATATGGATTGGGTGAAAGATATGGATAGTATTCATCTCAGAGGAAAAGAGTCTGCTGAGAGATGTCTGCAGAGGAAAAATTTAGAAATGACAGTGGGGAGCAAGGAGTATTCCATTTCAGTCAGTGAGTTGAGGGGTTTTATTGAAAATTTAACCATAGTGTGAGGGAAGAAGCAGTGTCATCAGGAGGGAGCCAGGTCTCAGTGCCAGAAGATTAAGAGTAGAAAAGAAAGAGGTTTAAAGATGAAAAGAAGTTTTTAAATTATATAACAATTGTGGAAGGAGCAGGAAGGTTTGAAGTGGGGGCTTAACTGGAGGTGAATGTTAGGAAAAGAGTGACGATTTGGGAACATGGAGAATGGGATTTATGCATCAGTAGCAAGTGGTTTAGACTCACCGAGAAGGGATGTGGGATTCTCACACAAAGGTGTGGTAATGTACTATTGAGTAATGAGTATAAACTGAGTTATTAGTAGTTGGTTAGAGGTCTATTGAGGGAGAGAGATGATTAGACTCTTCAGAGTCCTCCCTTGAGGTGTTCAACCTTATGTCAGGTGATAATGTTGACCACAAGAAATAGCAAAACTGGAATTCTGAAGTGTCATAGAAGAGAGGAGAAAATTTCCAGAAAAAAAGGGGGTTAGAATGAAATTCTGCAGAAAGTTCAAGAAGTCTGATATAATGCCCTTGTATTTCATAATTATGACCTCATCTGAGGAATTTCAAAACTGCAGTTTATAGACTCATAGGGCTCAAAGTTAGATTTTAGATAGGTGGTAAGGAAATAAATGTAGATCATTTGTTCATATAGTTTGGCAGTGAAAAGAGAGAACTAGGACTATTCAGTCATGTCAAAGCTTTTAAATAAGTTGGAAGTGAACTATTTGAGAACAAACGGTCATGAGAGAGATGGTGCTAAGTGTGGGAGCTAAGTCTTTGAGGATTCAGTTGTTCATAAGATCTACAGCACAAGTAGAAAATTACAGACACTCTAACCCTTCCTCTTAGGCTGAGAAAGTAAGATTGAGAGGATAAGTGTGGAGATGTATTGGGGTGGAAAGGAGAATCAGATGAAAGAACATCGTAAGTGAATGACCTTGATCTCAAAAGGGTGGCATAGTGGAGTAGAGAGTGCTAGGCTTAGTGGTAGGACGACATAGGTTCAAATCCTACTACTAACATTAAGTCTAGTGACATAAGGTACAAGTAACTTGGCATCCATGAGCCTTAGTTTCTTTATCTGCAAAATGGGAATGACAGTAATAACCTGTAATTTGTACCTCACAGGGATGTTGAAAACCTCTGTTAGTGCCAGTCTCTATAATGTAGGTCATCTGCTGAAAGTAGAAATAGAAAGTGAGTGGGTACTTGGAAAGAAAGGAACTCTTCCAGGCTTTGATTAATTGTGTTTAACACTCGTCTCATAGCCATTGCAAAATGGAAGATAGTGCTTATGGCCAAAAATAATGACGTGTCAGATATGGTCCTTTCTCCCAGCCCCCCTCCACCCCCCCAAGCAGTTTTGTTTTGTTTGGTTCATACTTAGTATTTCATTGGTTAAAAAGAACTTCCAGTGAAGAAACTCCCTCTATCCATGCAGATCAGCAAATGATCAATCAGTCAACAAACTTTCATGAAGAACCTACTTTATACCAGGCCCTACATTATGCACTGGGGATACAGAGACAAAAAATTAAACAATTCCTATCCTCAAGGGATTTACATTCCATTAGGGTAGAGAACATGTTTGTACGTAAGTATATAAAGAAAACATGCCAAATAAATACAGGGTATTTTTGGAAAGGAGTTATTACATAAGGGGATCAGAAAAAGGCTTCGTGGAGAAGGTGGTGCTTCATTAGAGTCTTTAAGGAAGTAAGGGATTTGACAAGGCAAAGAAAATGCATTCCAAACAGGTTCTGCTAAAATAAAGCCATGACATCAGGAAGACTTTGCATGACTTGCAGATGAATTAGATTTAAATGAGGGAGGGCTGTGCAAAGTCACCAGCCTCACTTTCTTCTCCAGAGCCATCTGGGTCAATGGCAAGATATAGATGGGGAATGACTGGAGATGGCCCTAAATGCAGTGAGAGACTTTGGCCTTTTTAAGCTAAACTCTTTCCCAGGTCTCAGTTTGACTGAGGCAACTCCCGTTTAGTGATTAAAGCTAGGTAAGAAATGAGGCTAAGAATGGCCTCTTTTACCTAATTTTTTAAAAAAAAGCCAATCTGAGAGGGAAAGACCCTCAGGGTTTCTGGACAAAACAGAAACAATTGCTGTGTACATTCTGAGTAATCAGGGCCCAAACAATGATCCCAGTGGGCCTTGCCTGGGACTGATTGTTGCCCAGTCCATGAGAGCCAGAGTCTTTTGGATTTAAGGAATGGTTCTTAAGAAAGATATCTAACCTATAAACACGAAGATATCTTCTGAAGTTTCAGTGATCAATATTTACATTCCTTTGGGCAGAGCATCATTAGATAGATGGTGAGGAAATAAATGTAGATCATTTGTTCATATAGTTTGGCAGTGAAAGGAGAGAACTACGACTATTCAGTCATGTCAAGGCTTTTAAATAAGTTGGAAGTGAACTGTTTGAGAACAAACAGTCATGAGAGAGCTGGTGCTAAGTGTGGGAGCTAAGTCTTTGAGGATTCAGTTGTTCATAAGATCTACAGCACAAGTAGAAAATTACAGACACTCTAACCCTGTGTCAACAGAGGGAAAGGAAGGGAAGGGAAGAAGGAAGGAAGGAGCTGTGTTGCCCAACTGGCCAGTTCCAGTTGGGTCTCCAGTGGGGCAGCTGGTACTGCTGCTCACAGGTTGTTGTTTGTCCTTCATCCCGAAGAGGATCTTGACAACAGGAAGGTGATGCTATGATTTGCGAATGAATTGGATTTAAGTGAGGGAGGGCTGTGCAAAGTTACCAGCCTCACTTTCTCCTCTGAAACCATCTGGGTCCAGTGGCAAGATAAAGATCTGGACTCAACCTCAAAAGATATCTTGGTTATTGTTTGGATACTAATTGTCTCCGAGTGAATGTAAATAGCAGTTGTTTCTGTTTTGGTCAGAAACTCTGAGGGTTTTCCCTTCCCAGATGGATTTTTTTTTTCCTGACTGGCCATTCTTTTCCTCATTTCTTACCTAGCCTGAATTACTGAATGGGCTCAGCCTCAGTCATACTGAGACTTGGGAAAGAGCTTAAAAAGGCCAAGTACAAAGGTGTAGAGAGAGATGGAGCTTCATGTTTGAGGAACTACAAGAAGGCCATTTTGACAGAACTACAGAGTGCAGGAGGGGAGAATAATGTGTAATGGGGCTAGAAAGATTGGTTGGGGCCAAGTTGAGAACACCAAACAGGAATTTACATTTTCTCTGAGAGACAATATGGAGCCATTGGAGTATGTTGAATAGGTGGGTAATATGGTCAGACTTGCACTTTACCAGTTTTGTGGGGGATGTTTTGGAGTGAGGAAAGATTGAGGCAGACCAATTAGGAAGATAGTGTAATAGTATAAGAAAGAGGTAATGAAAGCCTGAACTAAGGTGGTGGCTATGTGAGGGGATGAAGAAGGGATTGAAATAAGAGATATTGTGGAGTCTCAAAAAATTGGTTGGTCAACAAATTAGATATGTGGGCTGAGGGACAGTGAAGAGTTAAGAATAATGCTGAGGGGCCAGCTAGGTGGCACATTGGATAGAGCACTGGCCCTGGAGTCAGGAGGACCTGAGTTCAACTCCGGCCTCAGATCAAACACTTGCCACTTACTAGCTGTGTGACCCTGGGCAAGTCACTTAGCCCCAATTGCCAAAAAAAAAAAATAATAATAATAATAATAATAACCTATGCCAATAAAAGTAGGTCTAATTCCTAGCCCTCAAACTATCTGTGTATGGGGCAGCTAGGTGGCACAGTGGATAGAGCACCGACCCTGAAGTCAGGAGGACCTGAGTTCAAATCCAGCCTCAGACAAAACACTTGACACTTACTAGCCGTGTGACCCTGGGCAAGTCACTTAACCCCAATTGCCTTAGGGGAAAAAAAAAACAACAAACAAACAGAATAATACTGAGGTTGCAAACCTGCAAGACCAGAAGGATAGTAATCCCTTCTATAGAATGGAAAGTTAAGAATGGTGTGTTTGGGATATGTTGAATTTGAGGTAGCCAGAAACATGCAGTTTGAAATGTCTAATAGGTAGACTGAATCCCTGAGGAGAGAGACTGAAACTGAAGGAATGTAGAGATTAGAGAAGAGGATCCAACACAGACGCTTGGGGGTACATGTGGATGCATGATATGGATGAGGAGCTAAGAAAAGCAGCTGAGAAGGAGCAGTCAGGTGGATAGGAGAAGGGGGGGGAGGCGGGTAGGGTCATAGTAACCCAGCGAAAGGAGAATATCCAGGAGGAGAGAGTGTGATCAACAGTGTTAAATGGTATAGGGAGATAAAAGAGGATAAGAACTGAGAAAAGATAATCAGATATGACAATTATTATTAGTAATTGATCATTTTATTAGTAACAAGTAAGTTGTTTTAGGTGAGTGATGAGATTGGAAGCCAGTGCCAGGAGCTGAGAAAAGTGAGTAAGAGAAGAAATGGAAGCAATGAGCAGACAGCTTTTTCTAAGAGTTTGGCTATGAAAGGAGGATGAGCTTTAAGTCTTGAAGGAAAGGGAGGTTCGTATAAAGGTTTTTTTGGTTTTGTTTGTTTAAAGATGGGAGAGACCTAGGCATGTCTGTGGTCAGAAGAAAAAGGACTAGGAGATAGGGAAAGATTGAGGGGGCGATCTGGTGGAGAAGACCAAGAATACAGGATCAAGAGCATATAGCAGAGTGTACCTTGGCAAGGAAAAGGACCACTCCCACTATTAGATACTGAAGTAAAGGAGAGAGTAGTGGAGAGTAAGTAATGTCAAGTAATTTTGACATGTAAAGAAAGGGAAAAGAGCATACTCAGATCTTCTAGTCTTAGATGGTTGCCTGAGGCACTGAAAGCCTACATGACTTGCCCACGTTCACACAGCTGCAGTGTTTCAGAAGTGAGACTTGAATTATGACTTCCTGACTTCCAGGTTCAGCTCTAGATCTGATAAGCAATGCTACCTCTCTTTCCAAGCTTTATTAATACCATTTGGTTTTTACACCACCACCATTGAACCCTCTCTTGTAACAGATAAAGTCACTTAAGCAAAACCTGTCATCAAAATGACTGTCAGCATCATATGTAATATTTCACACCCTATTCCTTCACCTAGAGGAAGAATGTGTATTTCTTTATCTAATACCTGGGGCCAGGATTGGTCGTTTGTGTTTGGTTTCGCTTTATTGTTGTTTCTGTTTATGTTGTTAGAGTCATATATATTGTTATCCAGGTTCTGCTTACTTCACTCAGTAATAGTTCATACAAGTCTTTGTTTCTTTGAATGCTTCAGATGTGAACTTGGAACAACATCTCTGTTACAAAGCCAGACAATTAGGGTAGGGTTTGAGGGTTTCTGGTTACCAAGTGTTCTGCACAGCCCTTCTTGACTATTAGAAAACTTTAGCAGTCCTTTCTTTGTAGAGCTTTGAAACTAATAAAGTGTCACCTTATTTGATGCTCACCCCAACTCTAAGGTAAGCTCTGTATCTGGCATTTATAGATGAAGAAACTGAAAGCCAGAGAGACTCCACGACTTGCTCAGTTACAAAGGTAGATAGTGGAATAGTTGCAAGTAGCTCAGATCTCTTGGCCATTGGTCTCTATAAGACTTAGCTTCTTTAAGGACTTAATTTGCATTTGTTTGGTAACAGATCATATAAACACTTGAATTTTTTTCTTAGCGAGAAGCTACCAGCAAACTTTCTGTTCGGCTCAACTTAAATTCTCTAAAACAGTTCTTCCTGAGCCTGACTATGCACTCTGTTAGGATATTTGTATTTGTTTAAAAGGATATCATCAAATTATTTTTAAATTTTCAAACCCAAACTACTTTTAATTCACCTTACTTTTAGGAAAAATAAATTTACGCTATATGTTGCTCCTTGAAAGAGCTAGAATGTGTGTGTGGTAAAATCAGACCTAAAAGAAGGTACCATATCTCTTAAAAAGGTTGGGCAATCTTATGTTTACTGAGAGAGCTTCTTTAGAAATGATTTTAAACAGTTGAGAGTTTTGAGGTGTAGAGCTCATATGAGTTTTTATGTTTAAGTAGTTATGCAAATGAGAAATGTTTATCAGAGGAAGTACAAGATGGATGTTGACTCAAGCGGAATAATTTCTGTGTAATTGGCAGTACCCCAGCAAAGAATGTGGTAGACCTTTCATTTATTCATTCAGCCTTTAATTACCATTATTTTAATAGTAGATAGAGAATATCCTGCATAATTTATTCCTCAAGTGATTCTGCTTTTTAGTTCTAAGGTCATGAACGGATTGTAGTGAGAGGAGGCAAACCATGAAACCTATTAGGAGTATTTAGAGAAAGAGAAAAGGGAGTGCTGCTCCTTCGGGGATATTTCATTTCTCAGCTTTCTATTTTCTTGATTTATCCATGTAGATGAGGACAGAGCTCTACTTTCTGTCATCTCAGAAGAATCGTCCCAGTCTTTTTGGCATGCCATTGATTGTTCCATGTACTGTGCATACCCGGAAGAAAGACCTCTATGATGCAGTTTGGATTCAGGTTTCTCGACTTGCCAGCCCACTTCCTCCTCAGGAAGCCAGTAACCATGCCCAAGATTGGTGAGTGTGAGGGACTTATTTGGAGTATTTTGTTTCCCAAGGTTCTGAAACAATAAGCAGTGACTTAGATACTTTGCATAATTTATGGGGGTGCACCTGAGTGTCAGATAGCTGAAGGGCTATCCAAAGAACATCAAATCTAAACCTTTTGACTTCATGTCCTGGATAGAAAATTGTAGCCCTTTCCCCATCCAGCCTAGTCCAGTGCTGAATAGCCCTTACAGTAAGCTAAACATAAACTTAATCTCTTACTATAGCCCTTTTTTTCATTATTTTTCCTCACCTTGCATATACATTCCACAGATGGATGTTTTTCACAGTGTTATGAAACTCAAAATATGACTCATTTATGACTCGTTTATTTCAGCATGTATGTAGTATACACTGTGCCATGAGAAATTAATCTATTGTCACTTCTATGTTGAGTTCTTTTAAGCTTCAGAACCTAAAAAAAATACTGAAAGATAGAAGCAAGGCTTGATTAGTGTCTTTGTATTTTCAGTTTAGCAAACAGTGCCTTTGTACATTAAATGTCTGTTAAATTGTCTATGTTAAATAGACAATGAAATGTTTATGTGCAAAGACTCAAAGTGTAATACACAGGTAATTAAAATATAATTCCTTTGGGGCAGCTAGGTGGTGCAGTGGATAGAGCACTGGCCCTGGATTCAGGAGGACCTGAGTTCAAATTTGTCCTCAGACACAAAACACTTACTAGCTGTGTGACCCTGGGCAAGTCACTTAACCCCATTGCCTAGCCAAAAAAAAAAGACCTCACAAATAAAATATGATCCCTTCCCTTAAGAAGCTTACAGACCAGGAAGAGAAAAAGGAGATGTACATAAATAATTGCAAAATAGGATGTGAGTGTGTAAGAGAGTTACAAAGTGTTTTACAAATTTCATGGGTCCTTGGAGATCATCTAACTCTACTTTCCTCATTTTAGAGATGAGGAAATTGAAACCCAGAGAGAGAGAGATTAAGTGATTTGCCTAAGGTCATATACAAATAGCAGAGGCAGAATTCTTCGCACACTATGGCTCTTCAAGGCAGAACCCAAGGTCATGCCTGAGAGGCAAATCACAGTCTCTCTCTCTCTCTCTCTCTCTCTCTCTTTCTCTCTCTTTCTTTCTCTGTCTCTCTCTCCCCCTTCTCTCTCTCTCTTTCACTTCCCCCTTCTCCCTTCCCCCCCTCTCCCTTCCCCTTGTCTCTCTGTCTTCCCCCTCTCTCTCTGCCTTTCCCCCCCCGCCTTTCCCCCCCTCTTTCTCTCCTTCCCCACCCCCCAGTCCCTCCTCACTCATTCTTGTTTATGTCTAAGGAAAATCAAGTTTCACATGACCGTCCACAGAAGCTTCAAAGAGGGGAAAGGTGTTATTAAAGATCAGCTTTCCAGTAGATAGCAGGGGAGAATCCTAGGATTTAGAGCTGGAAGGGATCTTAGAGATTATCTTTTTTAGCCTTATCGTTGTATAGGTGAAGAAACTGGCAGGTTACATAATTTGCCCAAGGTTACATTGCTGGTAAGTAGCAGAGGTAGGATTTAAACACAATTTTTTTTTTTGGACTCTACATCAAGTTCACTTTCCCCTAGGTCATGCTGCTTCATACATCATGCTGGTTCAGTGAATTTATTGAGTTTGTCAGCATCATGATGGTTTATTTGGTCTCTGATTTCAGCTGTGTACTGAAGGTGGGATCATTTTATTGCTGCTGAAGAGCACATGAGAAGTCTGCTTCCTACGTAACTGAGTAACATGAAGGATTATGTTCATTGATTGCCATTGGTGGTTCAGGATCATTTGCTATATAACTAGGCTCAAGATAAGTGAAAGAATGGCAAGTACATGTGGACCAGCAGCAAACCTAGAAAAGAACTGCCATTTCTCAAAGAAGAAAATGAAATGCAGAGACTTTTCTATTTCAGATAAGAGATGTGTAGTTTTGTAATTTTCGAAGGAAATACTGAGTAGAAGCACCATATCATTCTACTCTAGCAAACTACTGCTAATCAGTCCGTCAAGGTTTTATTAAGCCCTGCTGTGCACCAGGCATAAGGGGCACAAAGACAAAGATGAAGCTGCTCCTGCCCTTAGGGAACTTACAGTTAGAGAACATGTACACATAAGATTACAAAGAAAATTAGCATGGACGAAATAAATACAAAGTAATTTGATAAGGGAGGCACTAGCAGCTGGGGGGTATCCAGAAAGGTCTCCCATAGGCAGTGTTGTTAAGCTGAGCTTTGAAGGAAGATTAAGGATTCTAAGACAGTGAGGTGAGGAGGGCATGTACTCCACTTGGGGATAGCAAAGATCCAGCTTCTGTGATAATGCTGTATTTTGTACATACTTACATATTTACATATTGTGTCTCTTTAGAATGTACGTTCCTTGAGAGCAGGGGCTATTTTTTTTTCTTGCCTTTTTTATACACCCAATATTTACTTAGCCCAATGCCTAACACATATTAAATGCTTAATAAATGCTTATTGACTTACTAACAGGAGATCATGTGTCATAACTAACTAGAAGATGAAGATTAGTTCAGCTGAATGAAAGAAAAGGCACTTATAAAGTGCTTACTATTTGCTAAGCTTTGAAGATACTGAGGTCCAAGGGAGCTAGCCCCTGCCCTCAAGGACCTTATATTCTAATAAGGATAACACATGGGGAGGGGTAGACAGGAAAGGTAGTTTTGGTCTGATAAATAGAACAGTTAATTGATAAGCCCTTTCCTGTAGGAGTGGTACTATTGATTTGATTGTTGTGCCCATTATAAAAGGTGGAATGTGGCAGGTTGTAGAGAGGCAGAACCAGAGAGGCAGGCAGAAAGCATGATGGCCTGAATGACTAGATGACTAGATGGGATATGGAGGAGAACTATAGTCTTGGACCATTTAGATGTAGTGGGCTAAATGGACGGGTTTATATTCATTCACTGGCATCCTAATGTGAGAGTTCTAGATTAGAGAATTAACTTTCCTTGAGACTAGAGGCATGGATTCTACAGGTCCAGGGTACAGAGCTTCAGGTCCACTTTGAAGGAAGCTGATCCAAGTGAGAAGCCAGGCAATGACAGGTGGCAAGATGGCCTAGATGGACAACTGTATAGGATGTGAAGGTGAAGCATGGACTAAAGAATGCATGAAAGGCAATAATGTGTAAGTCCAGAAAGGCAGATTGGAGCCAGGCTGGAAAGAGTTTTAAATGCTAGAGAAATTTGTATTTGTTCCTAGAAGTAATTAGGAGGTGTTGGAGTATATTAAAGTAAGGGATGTGTTGGGGAGGATGCAGTTTACATGGTCAGACATGTGCTTAACAAAAATTATTTTGGCAGCTCTGAAGGAGGGATTGGAGAGGAGACTTGAGACAGGGCGACCATTTTTTATAGACTTTTGCAATATTCTGTCACTCCAATTTTCCTGTCAGTCTTCAGCCTCCCTTGGGAAGAGGAGAAATACTGTTCCATCATGCTAAGTCTCCTGCCTGGTTTCCAATCTCGCAGGAGAAAAGAAGAAATGCCACATCATCAGACAGGTCTCTTGTCCTTGAGGTGTGAGAAGAGGCCTCCATTTCCATCCAGGGTCCCCAACCTGGTCGCTAGCCTCCCCCAGGAAGAGGCTCAATTCCATGAACACCAGACTCCTCTCTTCCAGGGAAAAGGAAAAAGGTCATTCCATCAAGTCTCCACCTTGGTTTTCTGCCTTTGGAGAAGGAGAGTGCCACTACTCCTTCACTATTTAGCACTTGTCCCATTGCTTTAGGAAGTTCAACTTTAAGTTCTGAGAGAACTCCTACCTGAGGCTATTGCCTCTATGGACTGTGAAAACCTATCTGAATTTCATTCCTCATTGATTAACAGTCCATGTCTCCTTCCATACCCTCCTCTAGTGATTCCAAACACCTGCTGTCATTCAAACCTGATTCTTTTTTTTTTAATTTTTTAAATTTTATTTTTTTCTCAATTACATGAATACAAAAATTTTTAATGTTTTTTTTAGATTTTGAGTTCCAAATTCTCTCCCTCCCTCCCATACTTCCGTCCTCCTTGAGAGAGTAAGTAATTTGATATAGATTATATGTGTGCAGTCAAACTTGATTCTTTATCCCTCACTGCCAGATCCTTTATTCTCATACCTCACAACTCAGTTTCCCCCAGAGTGTTCTACTGTAAAGCTACCACCTCTTCCACTGTGTTCTCTGGAATGCTTACTGCATAGACAACAAATGTGCTTTCATCTTAAATCTTTTCCTTTTCCGCTTTTCTTTTGGCTCCCTCCTGGTTATATAACCTCTTGAGAATACTTCTTGCTGCCCATTGCCACTTCCAGGTTCTCCCTCTATCATTATCACTCAGTAACCTCTCCTCCTTTGAGATTCTCAATCCATATCTACCATCTAATCAAAATCCTAGTAGATGTTGTCTACAGACCTCAAAGACCCTATGTCTTTCCTCAGTGAATTGAGTGCCTGGTTCAGTCTTCTATCCTCAACTGCTGCCCTTATACTAGGGGACTTCAGCATATATATTGATATTCTAACTGTATCTCACTATATCTTCACTTTAATCTTACATTAGTTTACTAATTTACTAATTAGTTATTAATTTCATGTAACTCATTCTTCCATCCCACCTCAGCCACACGTAGAGATGGGCATACCCTTGTGCTGTCACCCACAAATGCATTACTCTTCCATGTTCATTAACTCTGAAATTCCCTTATCTGATCACAATCCAATGACATTCCACCTCTTCCTCTGCCTTGCATCTTCAGACTTTGTCCACACCATGACCTCAGACTTTGTCCACACCATGACCTCTAGTCCTTCCACCACCTAGTTCAACTTAACTCTTTCCTCTTCTCTTGAATCCCTGGCTGTTATATTGCCAGTCTTGCCCTGCCAAGCCTTATCCTTAGATCACTCCCACCAGTCTGCTGCCTTTGCTCTTTTATACATACTGCTGAATGAAGCTAGAGAAAATAAAAAATCGTGCTGCCT